TTTTTTTTTTTTTTTAAATAGTTCATTATGAGTCAGAATTGACTCAACCGCAATGGATTTGGTTTTGGTAACCCAAATTTAGTTAACTTCAAGATAATTTATTTTTCAAAAGTCAAAAGACAGTTTTAGAGGATCCGAGCAGATCATTTCATTAACAGAGATCTAGGAAAATAACAATGTTTCTCTGCTATTCACAAGATTTTAGTGGCCAATTTTTTTTTCAGAAGTGGACCTCTGGCCACATCCTTCTTCTTAGTCTGTCTTAGTTTGGAAGCTCTTCTGGACCTTTCCACAATAGGCGACCCTACTGGTATTTGAAATTCTGGTGACATAGCTTCCAGCATCACAGCAACATGCATGCCACCACGGTATGACAGACTGATGGATGAGTGGTGGTTAGTTAGATACAAAACAACTTACAAACACAAGTATATTTCAGAGTTAAATAAGAATTATTTGTTTTGTGTGCTTTAAAGACTATGTGGAACAATACATTTGATTTCAAAGACTGTAAAACTATATCAGTGAATAGAAGTAATTTCTCAAGTTACTGAGCTAGTCCTGTGTTTGCAAAGCCACAGAGGAAACAAAGCGAGAACATTGTCTAATGGCCAGGACTCTGGCATGACTCAGGATTTCCTTGCCTAATGATACATACCAACTTATAATAGGGGTTCTCTCTGGGCAGGGCAACAGGGTAGACCAGGAGGTGTGAAGGACTCCACGTTGTACCCTTTATATTTTTATGTTTTACTTTTCTATGAGGAATAGATTTATGTTTCCTTGACTCCCTGGTTCTACATAGTAGTGAAGGTCATTATCAGTTTGTGAATAATTGATTTCTATATTTCACTCAATGACCAACAAGCAAAGCCAGATTGAAAAAAGAAAAGCAGATAGAACTTTGAGTTCAAGATTTCCCATTAACTTTAGAAAACATTTGAGTACTATACAATTTTGTGATATGAGCTCTGGTGGAACATGGTTAAGCATTTGGCTACTTTGTACAAAGTCCCTGAATGGGGCAGAAGCTTAATGTGCTGGACTGCTAACCAAAAGGTTAGAGGTCTCAGTCCACTCTGAGGTACCTCAGAAGAAAGGCCTGGTGATCTCCTTTCAAAGAGGCAGCTGGAAAACCCTATGGAGCACTGTTCTTGACACACAGGGGGTCACCGTGAGTTGGGTTGACTTAACGGCAACTGGTCACAGCTTTGCACAATGGTTAGTTAAGGATTATTAGATTCAAGCCCAAGTCCAAACTATTCAAATATTTTGGGGGTTGGAACACCTGCAGGGTGCTTTTCATTTCTTACTCGAGTAGGTGCTATTCTTGAACTTTTTCTGATACTGTTCTCTGAGGATCAGTTGTTCCTGGAAGGGCCATTCCAACCTTAACCTCTTCTCCACCTCAGAGGGAA